AAAAGAACGGGGGTGCTTGTCGTACCTTTAGGGGGTTAAAACGGCAGTTTTGGTACCTCTTAGGGCGTTCAGCCTCGAAAGGTCCACAGCATGAGCTTTTGCGGTACCTTTTAGGGTATTGAACAAAAAGAAAATATGCCTTGATATACAATGGGCACGATTCATTCGAACAAAATTCTAAATTTTGGTCTAAAACTAAATGGATTGGTTTGGTCCAACCGGAAAAGTTTTAACAATTGGTCTACCTTTTGAGGTGGACCACCTCCCTGTTTGGTATTTTCCTTGTACACTACAACATGGAGGAAAACACTTATCATTGCAGCTTTTACGGATTGTCAACAGCAGATTTATTAGTGTTACTCGAACATCCATGAGCAGTGACAACAGGTCTGTAGCTGCTTCGCAAACCAATGTATGTTTTGGCTGTTAACGGCTCTTAAAGACAATTTATTTCCCGAGAGAATTTGGAATGTTCTTTCCGTCATTCAAAAGTGGTGTTTGAACTCATGTGGCAAATATCCGGGAATGGTCTGCTCAAAATAACCCGTTATACTGGTTAAATTACTAAGCATGAAACAGCTCACACAACATCATTGATATCAACGTCAAATTCGTCATCTAGCTCTAACATGACCAATAGTGATCCTCCATTTTAAATGAGTGCGAAACTCATTTTCGGAGTGGAATGGGAGGAGACCCTCCAGACCTGTCCCAATCCATTTGACACCAGGAAATTTTTGAACCTCAACCCGTAAAATTTTGGTTGAATGGATCGCGCCCAATGTGTTGTTTTAGAATTGGTAAGAAATGTGTCACACATTTCTCTATCATACAAAAACTGCACTTTATTCCCTGGGTTTATTCTCAGTCTGCATCTTGTACCTAGTCTACCATCAGCATTTGTTACCTTGTCTGCTAATGTGTAACTGCAGACCAGGTAAAAAATGCTGTTGCCTAGCAACACTGATGAAAGCCTTGCTGAGTACGAGTTACCATGACAGCTGTAGCTTTCCCCTTGCAACTTCAAAGTTCCCTTTGTCTGAGAGTTATCCATTTTTTAAATACGTAGTTGACTTCACTTGCCAATGGAAACACTTTGTTGTGGACCCAGCCACATACAAACACCCACTAGCAGTGTTTAAACCTCCACTAAGTGAACACTTTTTCTAATAAACAGATACTTTTTTCTGGTTCCTATGGTAAGGAAGTCATTGTATAACAGGTTTCAACTGTGTTCTAAGGACCATCATTTTGTGTAAGGTGTCAGTGCACTACCGTTAATTTAAAAGTCTCAACTATAAAATTTATAGTTGATAATTTTTATATCAAGGCATGCATTCAAAACAAGGCCCAACATTGCGTGAGCTGAGCTTGCATTCACGGTTATGTACTTTCTGATAAGGAACAGATTTAAAATATAAACAAACAGCCGTGTTGGATAAATCTGGCCATGGTTGTAGCAGGTTTAATGAAATCAAAGCTAACAGAATCACAACACATCAATATATGTAAACCGATTACAGTGGAACCTCGATTGAACAAAGTCGCTGGGGACCGGCCAAATTTGTTTGTTAAATTGAGGGTTCGTTATATTGAAAACCTTGATATAACAAATTTGAGGGGAAACGACCAAAATGTTCGTTATATCGAGGTCATAGTTAATGATTAATTTGTAACACAGGTGACTTGTGTCACGCAATTCAATGCAGTTTTTGTCACCCAGAAGTGCCGCGTTCTGAGATGCAATTCATTAAGCATGGTGGCTTTCAATATCAATTATTTTCACTTTTAAGCAGACGCGCAGCTTTTGTTTACAAAAGAACGACACTTTCAGAGTAGCGATTTAAGGCATGCATTCAAAACTAGGCCCAACACTGATAAGGAACAGATTTAAAATAATTATAAACAAACAACTGTGTTGGATAAATCTGGCCACGGTTGTATAGTTAATAATTTTTATTTTGTTTCACAGAAAGAGGCTTCAACACGGTGTACTTTCTGCAGTGCATGCAAAACCAAAACAAGATGTTGTTGATGGTCCAGGATCCAGATTGTCAGAAATAATGAGATTTGGATTTCCTGGTAGTTGAAATATAATAATTAATATTTATATGAGAAATTTTTATTCATTGATCACCAAAGAGTGTCAATTAAATTGTTGGTGAGATAGGGAGGTTTTTGACTGAGTGTTGTAAAACCAAAATCAAAGTCAAAGTAATCACTCTGGATAATCACAGTGACTATAAGAGGGGGTGGGG